AATTTTAAGCCAATTTTTATTAATGTTCCATGTGTGCTTTTAAAAAATATTCTCTGTTGACTGAAAAGATCTGTATTTATCTACTAGATCAAGTTGATTAATTTTATCATTCAAATCTGTCTTTGCTCTTTTCAGCTGATTTATCCATTTCTGAAAGGTGTATCTTAAAATCTCTAACTAAAACTTGATCTATTTTTAGTGCATCCATGGTCACTTGCTTTACCTATTTTGAAGCTGTATTGTTAGCAACATACATATCTATGATTATAGTGTCATTTATTTTTGTTACTTGGTATATGTCATCCTTTGCCCCTCATGGCATGCTAGTCTTATAACTGTTTTTGCTAACGTTAAAATTGCTGCCATGGCCAGTCTGAGAGGACTGCATGAGGCAGGGAATTTCAATGTTTCTCAAGAATCCGGCTGGATAAACAGATGGATAGACCTCCAGTAATGCAGTTAGAGGCAGAGGTATTTCAAGGTGGAGGGGTTTGCAAAAGGAGTCCACAATGGGCTTTATGCATTCACTCTGGTCCCTGTGAGTTGATGTTTTGTGAGTTAGGCCTAATCCCAACAAGGTTTAATATGCTTTCTCAAAGAACTGAGGTGATCAGCATGTGGGCAGCTGTGCTCTGTTTCAGTAGGAAAAGGAATATTTGCAGGTGAAAACAAGTTTCCTTCCTAGGAAGGTTCAAAGATAAGACAGCCTTCATGTAACAATGAGGAAGTCAATGACAAGGAAGGAGAGAGAGCTTTACCTGTGGTTATACTGAGCATCCCAATGCTTGCTCTGGTCTACTTTCCTTAAATTATTACTCAACAGCATAAGGGATTAAAAGCTTTTTGAAAAGACTGGCTCCTTTCCAGAGAACTGACAGGCAGGGAGCTAATACAGATGGCCAATCGAAATGCACTGAAGTCAGAGACCTTTTCCTTGTAGAATAATGAGAAAATACTCAGAATAGAAGAGGACAGACTGGTTACTAACCTGCACAAAGCTGCATAAGAAAAATGAGGCCTGACAGAGTGGGCGAGGCAAATCCTACATGACTAAGTGCTCTTCCCTGATCTTGGAAACCTGGCGGAAAGTGGGACAAGAATCCAGAGGATGTGCAAACCCTCACCTGGTTCTGGTACACATATCCCGAAAGGGTCAAGATGGAACTACTCATATATTTCCTTGATCTTAAGATTCTGTACCTCATTTCTAATGCTTAACCAAGTCTGTAGCAAATATTGTAGAGGACACAGAATTAGAGATGGCTCCTAGCGACAAAAAAAATTGCATTCGAAATGAGGCAGACATCTTCAGGTGGACAGACCATGTCGGACGTTTTCAATACAGAACTATAAAGGAATACACGCACACACACACACACACACACACAAACACATGCATGCACATACACATATATGATGGGACTTCCAAAAAGAAGGCTAAGAGCCACAGTTTCAAGAGATTTCCTTCTTTTTCTACCACCAACAGGTAAATAAGGATGTGAGATCCTTTGGGGGCAAAGGGAAGGACAATCATCCCTTCAATCTGCCTGACAACTCTGAGGCAGGTGTCCCATCTCCAATTTACACGTGAGTCTGCATGCAGACTTCCTATTTCCTCATGCAGGATGCATGAAGAATAGGCAGGTGTGGGATGCTCTGTTTTGAACTGACAGACAAGGAATTAAAGCTGGTAGCTTCAGGGCCAGGAGAAACACAAATACATCTTGGTATAGTGATTTTTTAAAAACACATCAAGTGACACCTTTTAAACCAACGACAATGGTTTCTATTCCTGTTTCTAGCCCGATTCCTCTTTTGGAATTTGCTCTTCAAGAAACATTATGCTGGATAATGAGGGCTCTGAGAGCCAAGAGCCCAGATCCTGTTGCATAACCTCAGCATGACTCTCTGTGAAACTCCTAATAAATCATTCAGTTTTGCCTTGAAGCCACTGAATACTTGGAATAATGTGAAAGCTGGTGTCTCAAATCATTACCAGGGCACCCACATGGGAGTACTATTTACCCTGGGAATCGTTAAATTCCACCTGCAGTAAATTAGCATCTGCTCCCTGCCAGGAGGTGGCTCACATCAAAGTTGTGTTAACTTTTGAAAGTCCATTTTCAGCCCGCTTTCACCAAGGCTGTCTGGTAATTGCCTTCTCTTGAAAATCCAGATCAAATCCACCAGGACCCCTGACAGAAAACAAAGAGGAAAACAGGGAGTGAAAATAAGAGCCAGGAGCACCTAAAGGATCTGTTACATGTTGTTGTCAGTCCAGCAAGGAGAAGCCTTGGGAGGCGGGCCTTGATGTAGGTTCTGTGAGGTTTCACAAGGAGGAAGTGAACGGTGACTTCTGAGCATCTCCAATATTCTAGGTGTGATGTCATGCTCAACTCCTATTAATCCTCCCAATCTACATAGGAAAATGAACTCAGCTCAGGTTCTGGAACCTGACTGAGGTCATCTGGCTAGAGAGTGGCTGCATTATGAGTTCCCAGAGCCCTCTCCTCACACTATACCCCAAATGTCCTGGGCAAGAAGGCCAAAATGTTGTAATAAGGAACCCAGGAAACATATGTCTCCTGGATTGTGATGGGTTTACGGGTCGTTGCCTAGTGAGCAACAGATGAGAGACTGAGCAGGCTCTTAGATACCCAGTGGGCACAGCTGAACCCGGGCCTGTTGGTCTAAAGATGGAGTCCGAGGCTGTTCACGTCAACTGTTACCAGTACTGTTCACACACACCTAGGCAGGATAAGTTTCTTTTGACAGGCAGAGTGGAGAGAAGGAAATTAGTATTTATTAGGAGGTAACAGATCTTACAATGAAGAGCACTGACGCTGGAGCCAGACTGTCTGGGCCTTGATCCCATGTGCCGTCTTGCTGGAAAAAGACCCAATGTGTGTGTGCACGTGAGGGTGGCTGGGTGTGGGGGCGGCAGAGATGGATGAGCAGGAAAGGCCTTGTGCTGGCTTGCTGAAACTGGTCAATAGCTCCAGGAGGTATATTGTATTATTCTACTTTTGTATATGTTTGAAATTGCCCATAACAAAAGCATAAAAATAAATCTGGGCTGCTCTACATGGACAAGTTTCTTGGCTTGCCTCAGTTTACTCATCTGTAAAACTGGGTACTAACGGTACCCGCCTCCTAGGGCTGTATGAGAATTATACAAGTTAATACATGTAAACTACTGAGCTACCGTTACTATTTATAGAGTCACCCCCATGTCCCAGGTGCCCAACCCGGCTTTACAAATTTACTTTTTCAACTGATTTCCCCCCAACAGCCCTATGAGACAAGATACCTTCCATTTTCATAGGAGGAAGTAGACTCAGAGGGGTTCTGGCAGCAAAACCTGCATAAAACCCAGGTTAGCTCAATAAACCTTGTTTTCTACTAGATGGCCCACCTTCCTAGAAATGACTTGACTAGTTATTTACAGACAGGGAAACTGAGACTCGGTGGGCTTCTACGGTTTTCTTCAGTGTAGGCTGTGAACTAAACACAGAGCAGGCAATCACATGACATGTGACCTGGGCTCTTTCTAGTGGGGAGGATGGGCTGTGCCTGCACCAGCCTCACACTCACTCCTGGGGTGGGGTGGCGGGGCACAACCCCTCATTTCAGTGGCCCCGTGGCCACTGCAGAGAACAGGGATGCCTCCTCTTTGCTCTGTGCCTCCTATCTTTCCCAGACTATAAGCACTGGGGCTCGGAAGAGAACCAAACAAGGGAGAGAAAAGTAGAAACCTAAGACAAACTTTAGGCTAACAGCCTCTGCATTTGATAAATATTTTAGGAAATCTCAGGTCAGGGCCAAGGGCCATGGGCCTTAGAGTGAGTCTAAGGCCACGCAGTGTCTCCCTCTGAGACCAGCTCCCACGGAGGGGCCCACAGAGCTGCCAGCCCTGCTGAGTCCCAGGAACACAGGGCATCAGCTGGGGTCCTTCCTTTCAACAGCTGCTTCGTCTTCCTGAAGAACTCGCTCCAAGAGGCCCCAAGTCCCCAGCCAACCGCCTGAGGCATCAGTGAGCAAGTCATGTAGCCACCATGATTAGAAAAGCACTTCTCACCCCACAAATCTCTCTGTAATCAGTAATGATGGGAGGATAGACGCCCTCAGAACAGTCACCACGAATCTGACTTCCAAAGAGGGGTCACTCCATCAGGAACCGGGGCCAGGCTAACAATGCCCTCAGAATACAATGCAGAACACCTTCCTAGCAGGGCCAAATTGCATCAAAAACTCAGCTGGACTGCAAACAATCTGCATCCTTTCAGCAGGAACAGAACGAAGTCTGACCTTTACCTCAGGACCACTCTGCTACTGCTGCTTCTAACTGGTGTAAAAAGCACTTGTAGTCCTATTCCAATTAGAACTCTTACTTTGCTCACACAGACCAATTAGTGCACCCTCTCTGCCCCTCCTAAGAGTCTCTCCATCTTTAACAGTCAAAAGCACAAACCATATTGAGGATTCAGGCGGGGAGGGAGAGGGAGTGGAGAGGGAGCTGGGGGTGGGGGGAGGACTGAAGACGGCCACCGGCCACCTGGAGAGGGTTCCCCACAGACACACAGCACCTCCTTACGCCTCCGAGAGCTAGGCCACTTCCTGGCAAAGCAAGATAAACATCCAGTTTAAGGCTATTATCTCCTTTATTCAAAAAATAAATATTTCACTTTTGAGTCGACATATTTCAAATCACATTAAGCACAGAGAAGAAATACAGTCCCTTTGGAAATTGTGAACACATGTAGGAAGAGTCATGTTCTAAACAATGGGGATGGGGTAAGCACTGATTCCAACTGATTCATGACCCAGAGATGCCTCCTCTCACCGGGTGGAGCTACATATTGATCTTAGGAGCGAAAAAGAAACACACACGCGCGCGCACACACACACACACGCACGCACACTGCTTTGAAGTCTGAAAGGCACATGAAGTGGACCATAAGGTGTATGGCACGTTCACTGATAAAACGTTCCCTATTCCCTCCCAGGGAAATTGGAGAAACTTTAATCAAGTCAAAGACCAGAGAAGACAGGGTGCTCTTGCTCAGAGCTCAGCATTAGGGAAATCTCTGAACACGAAGGCCATCTTTCTTTTGCCTTCCCCGTCCCGGGCCTCTGCTGCCTGCTGGGGAAGTCCACCCCCAGCGCTCATTCGGTGATGGCGGGGCGCGTGGCCACGTACACGAACACCACGATCAGGAGCACGACCACGGCCAGCGTGGGCAGCACCACCGTGGTGATCTGCTGCCGGGCCTCCTGCATGGCCTGCTTCCGCTCCTTCTTGTCCTTGGACGTTTCCTTCTTGGGCTTGCCTTTGAGCTGCCGCATCTTGCCTGAGTGATGCTAGGAGGGTGCGTCGGAGAGGGTCTGGAAGGAAGGGCCACACTTCTCCGGCTGAAGCACCGAACCTCCTGCGGAAAGAACGATGATCGAACATGAACAGAGGGAAAGGGAAAAGGAACCATCGAGTGAAAGGCAATTGTGAACCCGGCAACTCCGAAGGCAAGGGCGTGGGGACAGTAGGGCTCTGGAGACAGACTCTGCATAGTGGTGTGGGGGTGAGCTGGAGGGACCCTGCGCTGCCGGGCCCGGGGGCACACAGGGAACGGGTCTCCGGCCTGCTCACATAGGGCCTCTGTGCACGCTGTCTCCGCGTAGAGGAGAGGGGGGGCACCCGTCTCTCCACCGCTGAGGCTCCTCTTCTCCAGGGAGGCTTTCCTCACTGTTCTGGGTGCCACAACCTCCCCAGCCATCTGGAGGGGCGAGTGGCCAGCAACCTGTGCTCTCCAGGCACGTGGCTCCGTCCTGCCCAAGCCTTGGGCCCGATCGCAGGCCGGGCCGGCCTCCCCGGGGCTGGAGAGCCCAGAAGCACGGACTTCTCCGCTGGCACCGGTTCACCCCTCCGTCACACCTTCCTGAGCACCTACTGCGTGCTGGGCACTGCCCAAGATACTGAGAAAGAGGTGCAGGACTGTCTCACCGTCACAGCGCCCACGGTCTGGGGGTGCACGGGGGGTGGCAGGCAGAGTGGAGACCTAGATCAGACAACAGAGACTGGCTGGGCCCGTGGTCCTGCCGCCCACTCAAACTAGGATCCTGGCACATTCCGAGCCCCGAGGAGGTGCTCAGGTGGTGAAGCTGAGCTGTCAAGGGCCTAAGGATGAATCACAAACCCGTGGACAACTTTAGAGCAACAGTTCCAGACAAGTCTGCTTCTTAGCTTTAAGCAACAGCAATCTTTTGGCTGCTGATGAGACAGAGGAGTGTCTGGCACCTCTCAGGATCCCCAGAAAAGCCAGAGGACCAGGCTCAGGAAGTGAGGACAAGGGAGCCAGGTGGCCATAAGCAGAGCCCAACTCACACCACGTCAGCACCTGGGCTCTATCACTGGAGCAGGAGCCCCTGCAGCTATGGCTGCTGTCCCTAGAGACTAGGTGTAGCTGCTGTCACTGTCCAGGATGAACCGCCGGCTCCCGTGGGTATCGGACTCGTCAAACCGAGGCCCAATCTACCCAGAGCCCAGCCGCTGAGCCTCTATAGTAGGTGGAGTGTTTTCTAAACACAGCAAAGAGGGGGAGGCTGGATACCAGACAAAAAAGACATCTGTCCCTTACGGCATCCTGGGACTAGCGTGGAGTTCGATGCTCTCGGAGGCAGAAGGGCAGTACATGCCAATGTTCATCTGACAAAGACACTTTTTTCTTTAAAATCTTTATTCATGAGAGACACAGAGAGAGAGGCAGAGACACAGGCAGAGGGAGAAGCAGGCTCCCTGTGGAGAGCCCAATGTGGGACTCGATCCCAGGACCCCGGGATCACGCCCTGAGCTGAAGGCAGACGCTCAACCACTGAGCTGCCCAGGGGCCCCCTGACAAAGACACTTTTGTGACCCGATTCTGTGTGTGTACTATTTTCCCGGGGCCGTGGATGGCCTGTCACCACACTGAGGAAGAAGATGGCATTTACACCTGAGTGACAATGTTAAATGGCAGAGTCTGGAATGTGGATTCTGAGACAGAGGAGGCCTTATACGAGACCTAATCTCTTAGCAGTGCTCTCATTGCATATGGACCTCAGGACTTTTTTTCTGTATTGCCCACACCAGGCAGAGTTTCTTATAATGCAAGATGACTGGTTTTCGTGCACTGGGATGGCATAAGGCCAGCCTGAAGCTGATCTTAAAGTTAGGGCAGCCCGATTTTGGCTGTATGGAATTTCCGTTAAGCTTTTAAAAATAACCCACTAGCACTTTCTTAACACCTGACAGGTGTAGGAATCCCTGGCTTCACCAATTCTTTACAAATCTTCCACAGGCTGCTCAGAAGGACCTGGACGTACCTCTGACTGGATGAATGGCTGTGGCCGAGTCCCTCAGCCTCAGCGGGCCTCACCGTCATCAGCTCAACCATCAGAAGGGCTTCTCTCACACAGGTGACCGTGGCAGTTGGAAAAGGTGCTTGTCCATGGGGCATACCCACAGGGGCACAGTACAGGTGTGGAGCCAGAGGGAGCTGGTTCCCTCTCTCCACAACTCTCCTGTCTGTAGCCCAAGTGGCCTCCCTGAGGTTTTTCACCTCTTACTGAGCTGCTCACCTGGGAGGGGCTGAGAGTGGCAGTGTGCCCCTTGCAGGGCCTTGGTGAGGACGAGACGAGAACCCGTGACATGGTGCACAGCAAGCAGGAGGCACCCACTGTCCATTAGCTGATGCTCCTGGGACTCACCCCAATAGCCTGTGAGTCGGATGGGGAAGGGAGGAAACCAGGGAGCAAGAGAAAAAAAACGTCCTGCCACTGATCACCCACTGGTCACCTGGTTTGTAAACAGCACCAACAGGGGCTTCTAAGAGAGCAATGGACAGCAGAGCATCATCCCTTGTGGATTCTGAAACCACAGCCTGCCCTCCCACTCTCCCTGACACGGCCTCAGGATCGTGAGCAGAGACGAGCCATGAGCAGCCCTCTGGTTGCAGCGCTCCCCGTGGAGTTAATGGCCTGTGGGTCTATGAAAAACAGAGGACCTGCCCCGGCTGCCCACATGACCCCTCATGGGACTGGCCATGGGTGGGTGGCTCCGGAAGCCCAGGGATTGCAAGGGCCCCAGGGGCTCTGCTGACAGTGCGGGCCCTGCCTCTGGTCCTGCTCAGTTAGCTGCCATCTGCGCCCTCCTGCATTAGCACCACGGAGGCTGCCCAGCCCCTGACATCTGTGAGATGTCTCCAGAAGTTCCTGGAGGCTTAGAGAAAAGCCTCACGTTGCTGGGGACAGCACAGGTCTGGTGGGGAGTTCAAGGCCAAATGCACAGGTCTGAGTTCTGGGCTCTCCAGTAGGTCGCAGCAGGCAGCCTCCCTGCTTCCGCTCACCTATGCTGAGGCCCTCAAAGCACAGCCCCATGTTCTCCCTGGGGCCCCCGAATCAGGGAAAGCATCTCTGGGAGGACACTGGAGAAGAGGGAAGGGGACCAGCTGGGACAAAAGTGGGGTAGAACATGGGGTACTTGGGTGGCTCAAAAGTGGAGCATCTGCCTTCAGCTCAGGTCGTGATCTCGGGGTCTTGGGATCGAGTCCCGTATCGGGCTCCCTCTTCTCCCTCTGCCTGTGTCTATACCTCTCTGTGTCTTTCATGAATAAATAAAATCTTTAAAAAAAAAAAAAGTGGGGTAGAACAGCAGAAGTGGCAGGAACAGAAGGGTGGCAGCTGGACCTGGAAAGGGCAGCAGAGGCCGGGGTATCTGGAGGCTCCCAGGCTGTGGTAAAGAGGCACGTTTTCATCCCAAGAGCAGCATAAGGCACTGGAGAGCTTCAGACAGGGAGGCACAAAGAGGGGGATGGTTCAGACCAGGGGAGGGAGGAGGATGGCATTGGGCTGTCTCTTGGGGCACAACCGGTAGGCCCTACTTCAGAGCAGATGTGGCCTGCAAGGTAAGGGGGGGACCACAGGTGAACAGGCTGGGTGGTAGTCCTGCCTCACAAGCTGAGGGAGAAGGGGTGGGGGAAGGGAGAGACTTGAGAAAGAACAGTCAGTGCTCCGCTCATACCTATCCACGTGTGAGGACGCCTATTGGGCATCACCATGGAAATATCAAGGAGGCGGCTGGAGCAATGACTCAGGAGCCCGGTCTGGGCGGCAGATCTATATTGGGAAGCCATCAGCTACTGGACTCGCTAAAGGCTGGGCAGATGGAGATAGGGCCGGGCCTGGACCCTAAAGCACCTGCAGTCAAAGGGCAGGCAGGGGAGCGGTGGGCAAAGAAGCCAGGGGAGACGAGTCAAATGAAGGGGAGAACCAGGATATAAAGTCTTAGAGACCAGGAGAATCAAGGGCACTGCCTCAAAACACTCCTGAGAGCCCATGAAGCAGGCTCTACTGGCTTCAGCAATGTGAAGCTCTGACACGAGTGGCTCCGGGAGCATGAGGGGAGGCTCAGACCAGGGCAACTACAAGCGAGTCCGCAAACTGCTGCTCATCAGAGGAGAGGAGCTTGTGCCAGAATGCAAAGGAACACGCTGCTTCCTTCATTCACAAAGTTTTGCCACGAAAAAGAGTCAGCTGGACTCAGTGAGGCAGAGGGCACTGCTGACTTACATTCTGTGCAAACTTCCCAGTCCTGGCACAGCTTGTGACAAATGGTTCACGTGCTGGCACTGTGACGGGCACTTGCCCAGACAACTGGTCTGAGCTCTTGCAGGAAGAGCACATGCAGCTGGTACAGAACCTGGGGGGTCGGGGGCGGGGTATCCAGCAGAATGGGAGAAACCTGGTGCGGACAAGGTGGAGATCTGTGGAAGCGTGCCGGGAGCACCCAAGGACCGTTCTGCCCTTGAGAGAAGCAAAGGCACAACTCTGAATCCAACAGGAGGCAGGCAAGGACGACGGGGGCAGGAGAAGGCAGGTCTGTACTGTGCGGTAGGAATGAGAGGCTTGGACTTTCTCAATGAAACAGGAAAGGGCTCGGCTTCAAGTCTGAGGAGCGGGGAGGCAGGCCTGAGGAAAGAGCAGGCATGAAAGAACCGTCCCGGAGGGTGGAACAGCAAACTTTGCAGGGAAACGTGAGCCCTTATGGCTCAGGTTCGTATATGCTTAAATACCCGGGCCCCGCCTCCTGGGGCCATCGGAGGACCACCTCGCCACACGCTCCAGCCTCGGCTTGCTGGACCACAGGGCTGGCTCATTCAGGCTCGGCCAGGCCCTCTGAAATGTGCGCTTGCCTCGAGAAAGCAAGCTGGGTCGGTCAGCCTGTATTTCAGAAATCTATGCTAAGAAACAGTCAGGGATGCTGGAGTTGGACGATCACACAGCTGCAGCCACTGGGGCGCCATCTGATGCCATGTGCAGAAGAAAGCGGGAGAGCTGGTTGGGGGAGAGGAGACAGGAGCCGAGGGGACTGCACTCCTGTCTTTGTAGTGGAGTTTCC